CACTGAGGGAGAAACATTGGTATTTGTTCACATAATTCTGTGCCTTGCAAGTAGCGAATAAAAATATATCAGCCCCAAAGACATCAAGTCTCATTTTTTATTATTTTTAATTTCATAACATCTGCAAATTCAAAAAGTTCTTTTGATACCAAATCAATGTTAAAATTCCTTTTGTAGAGTTTACAAAATTTTAACATCGGTTTTGTGGCAAAAGAAATTTTGAATTTGTATTATTTGAATTTGCAGATTTTATAAAATGCAGTATACTAAACAATGTTCTTCGTGTTTAGAAATACTTGATTGGCACGAGGAACGATATGAAAAATGCTGACATTTTCCCTATAAACTTCTACGAAAGATATATTTCCTGGCTTGACACAATCTCTAATGAGAAACGCCATAAGAGAACAAAGTAGGATTATCTCCCTTGATATTAAGAAACTGAGGTTACGATGCTTCGGTCATGTTCTGAGGATGTGCAACGGAAGATTACTTAAAGCTCTCTTGAGATGGACCTCAAATGGGAAGAGACAGAACATGCTAAAACGAGCGGAGGAGAGTGATGGCGGAACTGAAAGACACAAGTCTCTCATGGGTCGTGATACAAGCCAAAGTACAAGACAGGGATCATTGCTAAATCTTGATGGCGGTCAAATGCCGGAGTTAAACGAAGAGAATGACATAATTGTTGTGAAAGATTGCAAAATAGAGAGGAGTGCTTTCCATTCTTTAATTCCCAAATCTGTTTTTGTTATGCGGAAGTTTCTGTTATTTCACAGCGAGTGGCGCTTTCAGCAAAACTCCTCTGGATAATTCTACATTAACATGACCAAAGTCATAGAACACCAATATGGAATTTTAATGATATCATATACACTGTTCTGTTTCAAGCGGGATTTTTGCCTTTCGAAATGAAATGTTAAATTGATTATAATGTACGGATAATTTAGCGTGGTATGGCACATCCAGTGAGGATCGAACTCACTATTCAGTCATAACGGTTTTAGCAAGCTTGCTAGCTATTGCACCACGTCAGTGAATATATATATATATATATATATATATATATATATATATATATATATATATATATATATATATATATATATATATATATATATATATATATATATATATATATATATATATATATATATATATATATATATATATATATATATATATATATATATATATATATATATATATATATATATATTAGCTATTTTCAAGGTTGAAATATATATATATTTCTTGTTAACGTATTTCAATCTTGAAAATATATATATATATATATATATATATTTTTTGTTAATATATTTCAACATTGAAATGTATATATATATATATATATATATATATATATATATCTTGTTAATATATTTCAACCTTGAAAATAGCTATAAATGTATAGCCGAAAGCACTCGGAAAGGAAGAAAAATTGGACAGTTTTTATGCAATTTATCTACCGAATAGAAAAAAAATTATAATATCACATGAGAAATTGTATAAGAAACTAAATCAAAGCACCTTGTCATATTCACTGAAACTTGCATGAAAGAAGGATTGCTTCGTAAATACACAAATTATATATATATATATATATATTTCAATAAAGGTGCAATCAATTTACAAATTCATGAATTATTCACACAAAAACAAATGCAAAGTTTAATGATTTAATTGGCGAGAAATCCATCGTCGCGAACAATTCAAATAATATACAAAAACCCTGAACCTGTTTATGCTTTTATAAATTTCTGTTGCATGAGTTCTTATTTTTACAAGCTTTCGTCTGTTCATATATATATAGTCCATTCTCGTTATATAATCTTTGGTCCGTGTGCTTAATATTCTGAATTAAGTGCTTCAGGTTTAATACAGGAGACCAACTCATAACCAGACTGGAGTCATGTAAATCTTAAATTATTTTATTTTCGACATTGTATTTTTTTTAGAGCTCAGATAGTATCTTTGAATTTTTTTTTAGCTTAAATTAAGTGACAATCTTTCAAGTACATTTTCTGGCTTTTTGGAATTGCAACTGGAATTTTTTTTCAAATAATAAAATTTGCTACTGTCTTCACCTAAAGTTTTCTGAAAACTGAAACTTTCCTTCCTGATAGCATTATAAGCAAATATATTTGTTATCTTTATCTTCTTGACTGGGACATGAAGCTGCATTAATGTCCCATCACTGAACCTTGTCTTGTTCTTTGACCTGTGCTTCATCCCCTTTTACTCCCGAGAGACCCACGTCTCTTTTAGTTTTGGTTTTTATTGCCGTCGACGAGGTGATTTTTGATTTTCTTCTCTTCTTTTCCTCATTTGTTGTGCATCTCAAGGCAGATCGTCTTTCTCGGACATTTGTTAATCCGCTGACGTGCTAAAAATCACGGGGATAGCTGAATGCAAAATTAATAGTAGCTATTGTCACCACATTTATGGAAATGCCCACACCTGTGTCAGTTGAGCTCTGGTATCTGGTGAATCAATTTAAACATCAATTAAGCTGCTCATGGCAAGGTGATATAGATTTTTTGAACGGGTCATCACTATGAGTGTCAAATGGATTAAATTGTAAAGATATGTGACACTTGATCTACATTGTCACGTGTAAAGAATTGATGGAAGGTATTTTACTGTGGACAGCGCAGTGGCCAACCGCGGATCTTTAATGATTGGCACTTGAATGTCTAGCTCGAATTGCTTATGGTCATCGGTTCAATGTACATCTATATTCAACACAGGAGGTACCAGACGCCCGCCTAGCAGGTCAGTTAAGCGTTATTTAGTTTCCACGAGATGTGGGAGCAGAAGATCCACCAGTATGTTTCTGTTAATACCACCCAGGCTCGTGTCGTCGCTAATTGAACCCTGGCAACATGTGGCTGATGAGTCTCCGTTCCAGTTGTTTCGATTGTGGCTCAGATCCCATGGCTCACAGTTGTCAGCAAGGCACGATGCAGTAGTGGTGTTTCTATGTGTGGTGTGCCCACGTGGCATGGACTGGATTCGCTGGCCCATCTAAACACGTCATTTGCAGTCATAGTTGGATGCCATGCATTATTTCTAAGATTAGGTATTATATACACTATTTACATTATTCGGACTATTGCCTTCATCTTTTTCGTTATGTTTATCACAATCTGTGTATGAATTTCTGGGTATTATAAATCTAATGTCTTCAGCACACATTTTTTACCAATACTCATATTGCAAATTTTGCTGTTATCATTGCATTTTTTTTACCAGAGCTCATATTGCATTTTTTGCTGTTATTATCGCTTTTCTCTGGCACTCCTTATTACTGGTTCCCATATTGTATTCATTTCTATGCATGGTCGGCTCAGGAGATTTTTGTAGCCTAGCATATGTGCTGATTCCTTAAGTTTACGAATTTTCCAATGGCGTTCTTTGTCTATGATCTCAACATGATCCCACAGCGGGCGATGATCTCCCTTTTCTCTCCATATGTGGTCAGCCATGCCTGATTTTTCCACTTCCCCTCGTGTTACAGCTTTCTGGTGTTCTTGAAGCCTTATCTTAAGTGGGGACCTGTCTCCCCTTTATATTTCTTTCCGCAGCTGCACGGGATAGAGTACACACAGTCTTCAGTCATGTTCTCCTCTATGAGGGGTCTTACTCGGGAGAGATATCTACGAAGTGTCGTCAAGCTTTTGAAGGTGGTCCTGATGTTATATGGACCGCAGATCCTTTGTATTTTCTCTGATAACCCCTTCACATAAGGCAGGCAGATTGTTTTTCTGAGTGTTGTTGTCCTCCTCTTGTATCCGCCTAACCCAGTTTTTTTGAGCTGCTGCCATGTACCAAGGTTAGTTGTTACGTTGTAGGGTACTACTTATACTGACCAATTCTTTATCTAATGTCTCTGAGTTGCCACATGACTTTTGCTCGATGTTGCAAGCAGCGGGCGATCCCTTTCTTTACACTGTATGGATGGTGGGAGTTGAAATTGAGGTACTGTTCGGTGAATGTCGGTTTACGGTATACGTATGTCTTGAACCCATGCTCTGTTCGAGATATTAGAACATCCAGGAATGGGAATGTGTTGTTACTTTCTTTGTCCATCGTGAACTGTATCGAAGGTCTTATTGTGTTCACATGATCCAGTAGAACCTGAACATCTTCCTGGTGTGGCCAGAGTATGAAGGTGTCATCTACATACCTTAACCATATAGTTGGCTTTAGAGATATAGATTTTAATGCCATTTCCTCAAAATATTCCATGTATATATTCGTCATTGCCGGTGATAATGGCGAGCCCATTGCTAAACCCTCATTCTGTCGATATATGTGTGATCCCATTCCGAAGTGTGTTGTTTGTGTACAGAAAGTCAACATCTCCATCAGATTATCTATTGGAATACTGGTCCATTCTTCTAGGGATGAGTCAGAGGCCAATCTGTCTTTGACTACTGAGAGTGCCTCCTCCGTGGGTACCTTGGTGAACAAACTCACCACGTCCAAGCTCACCATCTGGTTGGATAGGATGGGAGCATCTTTGATTATTTCCACGGATATATGAAGGAGACTTTCCGATCAATGGGTCAATTATATCTACAAGGAAGCGACTCAGAGGGTGCACACAGAGACTTGGCAACTAACAATTGGCCTGAGCGGAATACCGCTTTGTGAATCTTAGGGAGACATGGCACGTAGAACTAGAACAGTCTATCCCAGTGAGCAAAATAAACGGTTCAGTTCGACATTCCAAACATCTGAAGAAGGCCGGGGCGTAAAACGGCCGAAACCTTGTGATAAACATGGCGAGAAAGACGAGGACAATAGTCCGAATAATGCAAATAGTGAGAAAAGTCATACTAATTAACCCATAGCTGGGGGTAGAGGTGGATTCATACCTTTCCCAATTTGCACGTAAGTGGATAGAACGAATCCAACTGAAATCGGGACTCTGCTCTCCGAATAACAATTTCGAGCCGTTATGCATTCCACCAGCCGTACATCTATGCTTACAGCTGGCATTCCCAAGTGGTCACCCATTAGGTACTGACCAGGCTTGACGTTGCTTAACTTTGGTGATCGTACGGGAACCGGGTTTTCTACGAGATATGTCTCTAAGCCTTACAAATATCTGGGAGCTGTGGACAGCTGTCGAGATGGCATGACTCCACATCTTTCTAGATATCTTTGTGGAGCCGATTCCCTGTTGATTTACTGCCCTTTGGCGGGGTCTGGAAGGATTTCTACTCGATACTACACACCTATTCCATGGATTTTGTCATGTCAGCGTAGTTTCATCTATTCTCTTTTCGGTCGATATTATGCGCAAGTTTTTCTTTTTAAATTGGCAGCAAAAATCTTACTTCGGAGATTATGCAATTATTTTCTTGCATTTGAAGTTTATAATTTCGTTGCTTCAGCGTTCTGCTATTCTTAGAGACGTGAAAGGGTGAGAAGTGATGACATCAGTAAGGACGAAACGACTAGGTAGATGACAAATAGCGATAGACGAAAAGAGATGAGAGGGAAAAAAAAGAGAGAGAGAGATAGGGAGGCAGGGAGAAAAGATGAAACGGGAGACATAGATGAAAAAAAAGATTAAAAAAGCTAGAAAGCGAATAGAATATGAAAGAGAAGAGGAAAAGAGAAAGAAAGAAAGAAAAATAGAGTCAGAGAAATGGGTAAAGCAAAGGGAAAAGAAAGGTAGGATGTGGATAGAAGGAATGGGGGAGAAGGAGAGAGAAAAGAAGACAGTTAAAGAGAGACCAAAAGTAAAAAGATTGAGTAAGTGGGAGAGAGAGAGAGAGAGAGAGAGAGAGAGAGAGAGAGAGAGAGAGAGAGAGATCCCCCCCCAATAACAAAACAACAACAAAAAAACAATATATCCAGAAAAAGAAACGTCTTATTACTTCCGGTTGACTGCTTGTCGCTCTGTCCAAATATTCAGCAGGATACCGTTTTTTCACGCGCTATTACAAGGTGAAGGGTGAGATATATTTTCTATTTTTAACACCCGGCATCGTTCAAATATCATTCGAAAATTCTCTTTCCTTTTATAACAGCATTTTTTTTTTATATATATATATATATCTTCCGCGGTGACTGACTACTTCATTCGGGCGATTTCTAAACACGTACACAGCATGGCTTAAGAAAAGACGTAAAAACTAAAAACGAAGTATTTTATCAAATGTTCAGAAAGTAATGATTTTGAGTTGGATGTAGAAATTTCTAGATAGATCAAAAAGCCACAGGAAATCATAAAAGGTGGGTAGATTTTATTATGAATAGTGGCTAACATAAAATAGGTCATTCGGTTTAAGTAAAAATAAAATCCATATTTAGCGTTTCCTTCCATTAATTTCTGTCATTTTTCAGGCAACTTCATAATTCCATTTTTTCAAAACATTTCATGTTTCTTAGCAGAGTGTAGCGGACTGTATCACAGATTGTAAGGGATGCGGTTAACACTTGGTACAGGTGCGGATAAAGAATTTCAAAATAAATCAGCTCAACATGCGGAGGATTTTGTGCACACACTTTTATACAAAATGCAACATAGCTCACAAAAGAAGAGAAAGAAAAAATATTTCTACGTGTGTACATTTAAGGGATTAACGTTAGTGCGTGTATGTGAGTGTGTGCGCACGCGCGTGCGTGCGGCCATATGATGCGCCTAGTGGTTGTCTGAAATTAAGAAGTCGGTTTTCCCGGAGGAGAAAGAAATTTCTTTTTTCCCGACTGTGATCAGTAGTTCGCGGGAAGAAGCTGTTCAAGTGGAACATACTTCTCGCCAATGAAATACAGAGGATATGTGGGTGGTTATGTACACACACACACACACACACACACGCGCACACACACACACACACACACACACACATATATATATATATATATATATAAATATATATATATACACACACACACACACATATATATATCTGTGTGTTTGTGTGTGTATATATATATATATATATTTATATATATATATATATAGTCCATTGCCAAAGATGCTGAGAAAATGGTCGAGTCTTTATACCTCTCCAATATGTACCTGACACCTCCTGTCATGTTTTATTTTTACAAGAGTCAGATCAACCAAATGTGGAGTATTTCTGCCATATTGGGCTGGAGGTTAATAGAGTTAAAAACCGTGACCTAGTGGGAAATGGCATATTTCACGCCCTACAAAACCTCATTTCCTACAGACTATCGCTATTTCCATGGCAAATATTCTGACAAGATTCCTTCTTTAGTCCCACCAGTTCAGACCTTTACAGCTAAGATACGCTGTGCTACACCATATCGAATCATCCTCATTCTCTTTGTATTCCAATTCTAAGAAAAAAGTTCCTTTCATGCAGCTTCTTACCAAAGAACCGCTAAGAGACCCACACGCAGATGCTTCCTTGAATGTTACAATATTAACCTCTTCAACGTTCATATCACTGAACTCATTCAGTAAATCCCTACATTGAGTGGCTCCCGCGTCCTGAATTGGGTGAACATTAATAAATAAAAGAAGACTATACTTAATCAAAATCCTCGCTTATCTCGCATGATTATCGTAATATAACCTGTTAACCCAGTATAAATGTCTTTTACATACTGAAGAATATTGATGAACTCCTGACCTTGACCTCGAAAAAGATTTTGTAATGTAATCTTTATAATGTTCGTACTAGTTTGTAACCTGGAGAACGTACGAATTAGTTAGAAGAAATATTCAGACAACTTTCAAAGGCCTTTATCCAGTGTTTCTAGGGTTTTTTCGGAACCAGAATAATTTTGGTCAACGTAAAAACACACGGGGTTTCAGTAGCTTCACCATTTGGAATTCGTACTCAATTGAATTATATTTAGTTTGAATGACTGTAACGTAATCTTTATAATATATATAAATTAGTTCGAAGCTATATTCTAACTAAATATAATAGGACTACATTGTTATGCGACAAGTAGTTTTGTTTTCTCTGCATAGCGTTTACTATTCTCCAATTATTGAGAGTTCCGTTCAAGGGAGGTAATCTAGGAACTCCGTTGCATAGCAATTACTACTACAGATTGCTTAATGTTTATTGTCGTTAAAACGTTGCATTTGGTAATTTGATCACTAGTCTCCTGATTGAGCCACCAAGCCATTTCTGCAGATATGGAATGCTGTGCCAATTCTGCAGATATGGAATGCAGTGCCAATTCTGCAGATATAGAATGCTGTGCCAATTTTCACATATGGAATGCTGTGCCAATTCTGCAGTTATGGAATGCTGTGCCAGTTTTGTAGATATGGAATGCCGTGCCACTTCTGCAGATATGGAATGCTGTGCCAATTCTGCAGATATGGAACACTGTGCCATTTCTGCAGATATGGAATACTGTGCTAATTCTGTAGATATGGAATGCTGTGCCAATTCTGCAGATATGGAATGCTGTGCCAATTCTGCAGATAAATGACAAAATAACGACGTCATTTGAATAGGTTTTCTAACGAAAACTTTGAAAATGTCTTTACAAGTGCTGTTGAACTTGCCCTAATTCAGAAAACCAATGCGCTGCATTTAGAGACCCCCTCCTTATCTACACAAAGACCATTTGAAAAGATAGTTTTGCACATTCATTGTAATGATGACTAGTAAGTGACCATGTTCTGAAAGAATAGGAAAAGCGAAGGTTCGAGGCTCCGGGGCACATTGCCTATGACTTTCGACCACGGGTCCGTGTTCAAATAATGATTGCTTTACACTTTTGGTGGGTATTTTGGGCGAGAGCCAAGCCAAAGTTGAACCGTAGCCCAAATGATAGTACGTGTATAGGAATGGCCATTGTTGCTATTTGAGCGAGCTCGTATAAACGTCAGATCTCGTTTGCTTTTTCTCTCTTTCCCACTCTAACGTTGATTATCTGATAGGCAAAGAAATGCTTACTTGTATACAAACACGTATCAGGCTGTTGGACAAATTCATTCCACTTCCTTACTGTTTTATCAAATCGACTTCCAAGTCGAAAGGTTGAACAATTACAAACCGACAATAAAGATACGTTTATCTGTCGGAGATCAATTAGCCCCGTTGTTACTGAGAAGTTTGTATTGCTAACTAATGAGGTTTATATAGGCACGTGTCCCGGAGGGCGACCTCGAGTTATTCAATCAACTTGCGATCCAACAAATATTTTGATCGAAACCGTTTACATTCACTTTTGACATTTGTTTTTGTCTTGTTGTGGTCGCTACTCCTGGCTCAATTAAAAGCACTAGTAACTAAAATTTCCTCAGCTAAATGACTTGTTGTCATCACTTGTAGAGATAAAAAGAGAAAAAGATATAAATTTCAACATGTGGAGACATTTTAACGTATTTTTCATACAACAAATAACATGATTCACTAAAAAAGAGAAAAAATACTAGTGTATACACATATACCTAAAAAAAAAAAGTCAGAAAAATACATTCAGAAGATTAGTGGTAGTTTGTTTGTGTTTGAATGTATGCATGAGAGAGATGCAACACTTGGCCGAGTAAGTAGGTCCCCCCCCTTAGAAGAGAAGACCGGACAAGTGGGGGATGCAACACTTGGCCAGGTGACTAGGTTCCCCATAGAAGAGAAAACCGGACCAGTATTCAAGAATGAAAAAAAAAAAAAAAAGAAGAGAAAAAGGAAAATTACGTCCGGTCTTTTATAGTCCTGCAATAGCTCCATCTAGCGGGCAGATCAAATGGGAGTAATCCTCACAGTTTCTTTCAATACATCGTTTTTTTAAATAGATAGGACAAGATTAATTGAACACACACACACACACACACACACATACACACACACACACACACACACACACACACACACACACACACACATATATATATATATATATATATATATTTTGTAAATTCGCGTAAGGATAAATTTTGTTTGTGCGCTCCCCTCTTACATAGAAAACAAAACGTGGCGTATCCTTAACATGTTATAATTGCCTATCGGGATCTTATATATATATATATATATATATATATATATATATATATATATATATATATATAGTCACATGATAGTTTATATTCTTATGTTAGTTTATTGAGTTAAGATCAAAGAAGATTATGAAATTGACACC